AGAAAAATATGCACAGGAAATTTACATCCAGGAGGAAATTCGCAACCTTGAACAGGAAAGCAGTGAGTCGCTGTGCCCCCACCCCCGATCAAAATCCATTGAAATACAAACGCTTAAAAACCAGCTCTTAGAATTTGCCCAGCAAAGATGGCAGGGCTCCATCATCATAGGCAAGCTATCCAGGCACACCAAAAAGGGACAAATGGACGCATCCTTTTTTGCGCTAGCCCAATCTCTTTTCGAATGGGGCAGAGGGCTCGTAGTACCTACCACACTTCGCACCTACCGGCAGAGGGGAAGGAGCCTAAATCGACGGACTTGGACCGCGAAACCAAGCACGTCGCTCATTGCATACGGCTCTCCAAGTAAATCTTACAAGGCCGTATTCCCCAATTAAGATTCAGAACTAAGGGCCAGAAGATCCACCATAGAGGGTCTATATGACCCGATCAAAACTCGAGAAGTCTCCTCGTACTCCGCTCATGGCCTGAAAGTGGCCAGAGACTTTTATAAAGAACTTTTTTCCCCTGTCCTAGCCGTGGAGTCAGAATAGATAAGGGAAGCTAAAATTGCAGATTTTCTACACCCCCTCTCCCAACGATTGTCTGACTAGCAACGGGAGTTATTGGAAAAACCGCTTCGTAAGGACGAAATTTGGAATGCCCTTCTACAGATGGAGGAAGATAAAACCCTGGGGATGGATGGACTCCCTAAGGAATTATGAGAAGTGATGTGGTCCCCCATGGCGGAAGAGTTGATGGAATACTATAGTCAGGTAAAAACCTCAGGAGACATGGGGGAGTTTGCACGTTAGGGGATCCTCACTCTTCTGTTCAAAAAAGGGGACAAAACGAACATAAGGAATTATCGACCGATCACCGTGGTTTATAAGCTGTTGGCTAAGGCACTGGCCAATAGGATCACCTATTTTAAAAGGGATCATCCACCCCGCTCAAACAGGGTTTATGCGCAATAGGAATATCCAGGACAACGTGCTATTGGTTAACGAATTGATCAAGCTATCAAGACAGTCATGACAAAACGCGGCCATAGTGTTCATAGATTTCGAAAAACCCTACGACCACGTGGACTGGAAATTCTTGGACAAATGCCTGCAGAGAATGAACTTTGGTCTGAAATTCTGAGACTGGATTATGATACTCCACTGCAATGCAAGCACACGGGTGCAGGTGAATGGGCTGTTGGCACCAGAAATTAAATTGCAGTGCTCCATGCGGCAGGCGGATCCACTAGCCCCCTTCCTAGTGGTAATGGAAGCACTGGTGGCGAATTTGAGATCTAACAAAAAAATATCCAGGCTCCGTCTTTCCGGCATCCCAAAAGAAGCCATACGGTCTACTCGATGTTTGTGGACGACCTTACAATAATAGCCGAGGCCACCCACAGTAATATGGAGGAAATTCAAGCTTTGATGGGCCGATTCACCTTGGTTTCCGATATGTCAGTCAACTGGGAAGCAAAATGCAAGGCTGGTAGATTCACTTTCATGGCGTTCGTCCCCCAAACAGCCTAAGGTAGACTGGAGACCCCTAGAGGAACAAATTAGTCTTGGGGGTGGTGCTCTCAGCCCTAGGACCACCGGGAGGCAATGACGAATGGATTACTAGGCCGGCTATGGAAAAGACGCAGAAATGGGAAAATAAAAACACCTTCATTTTTGGGAGGGCTCTTCTCATAAACAATGCGGTGTTGGCATCTATTTGGTACAAATCAGCCCTTTGGCAATTGGGAAAAGGTAGCATCAGGAGCCTAAAAAAGCACCTGGTGGCATTCCTTTGGCGAGGGAATCATAAACAGGGTGGCGTGGGATAAGTTGATCTAGCCCAAAACCAGGGGAGGACTGGGCTTGCTGGACCCCGCGTTACAAGCCACCGCGCTATCACTCCAATGGATCAAGAGATTGATCACCGATGTAAACCATCCGTGGTAGGACCGGGCAGTAGAACAAATCCGCAGACTCGCACCGAGAACAGTTATTACAGTGGACCCCCTCACATGGTTTGAGGACCGGTACTGGTCTATCCCCCGCCCCAGTTTGTGGCTCAAAAGAGGAAGGGGATAGAGGAGTGGCTAGACTAGACCTCGCCAAGGATAATATCTGGAGCGACCTGATCAAGAACTGGAGGAGGCTGTCGATCCCGGATATGTTGGTCCCAGAACGGTGGGAGGAGATCCTACTTTAACCCCTCTTTGGGAACAGGGCAATTACAGATAGGCAAGGACGGGTGTATGGTAGCTCGAACCCTCGTTGGGCCTTATGGGTCAGAAAAGGAATTCTCCACGTAGGTGATACATAGGATGAAAACCAAAGACTGGAAAACGGCCCAGCAACTACGTCTCTGCCTGCGCCACGCCCGCAAGTTGGCGGACACCTTGGAACAGTTAATATTTTCGATCCCCCTAGCCTGGTGGTGACCTTGAGAAAGGGTCCGACCTTGGGTGGCAGTAAGGGTTGCGGACTTCCCTTACCAAATAGGCACGGTAGTGGAGGCCAGACCGGAAGGGGCAATGGTAAACCTATTTGAAAGAAGACAAAACGACACCCTGGTCCGATACCACCCAGACTCGGTCCAATGGCATGAGAATACCAACCTCTACGGAATCCAGGTCCTGCAGAGCCATAAGGAAGGGATAACTCAATGGCATGCTTACCGACCAGAAATTCCCGTCTGCTTTAGCCCTGGACCCGTTGGAATGACAATGGGTAAGGGGACGGGACCGGCATTCTGTTCATCCCTCTGAATTGACTGTAAAAGCCACTTATAAGATGATTAGGCCCCGGGTCGATGTTTTGGCAGGAGTAGGTGACAGGTGGCAGAAACACCTTGGCCTTCATAAAGACCAAGTTAGAGGTTTGAAGTGGTTCAAAGGGGTGAAAGAGAAACCAACAAAGTTCGCCTCCCTTCAGTGGCAAATCTGTTACAGGTGCCTCCCCACCAATAACTGGATTATCGACAGGGCAAACCTAGAACAGAGGGGGGAGGCACTCCCATGGTGCAAATCCGGTTATGCTGGGTTCCGAGGCCGAAGAATGTGCAAGACAATAGAACACATGTTTCTCTAATGTCCAAAGGTGGTCCTACTGTGGCGATGGTGGGATCGCATTTGGTCTCAACTGGGCACCAATGAGGAGTGGCCATGGAAATGGGAAGCTCTTCTGCTAGGGGAGTGAAGAAGGCCACAAGTATCCTGCTTTGCCAGCAACCTCTTTTCTTTGTCTCGGAAGGCAATGATCTGGACTCTGTGGTCAAGAAGGTATGTTTTTGACCAAGAAGGGGCGGACTCTGTTAAGCAATTCATAGAAACAGAAATAAGAGCACAATGGAAACAAGTTCAGGAAACACCAGAAATTCTCTCACAAAAATCAGACATAATTAAGGAAATCCACACCTTCTGCGCAGAGTGGCTGGGGGGGGGAAGGGGGCCCAGGATGGCTCAAGTCGAATGGCCCAGGGAAAAGGGGGATGAGGAGGGACTCAGGGACTTCACTAAAGACTGCAAGCTCAGGTTCTGTGACTGGATGCAGGTCGACCCCAGTATTCCGATGAAGAGCCCTGAGGAATTCCAAGACATGTTCTCCCCGTCAGCCACAGCCATCGTAGAAAGGCAATGGTTTGAACGACAGTAACAGATGACGGTTGCAGTCCTACTTAGCTCATCAGATCAGCAGTCATTGAAAGAGCGAAAGGCGGACAGATTATGAGGGTGTGGTTATAAAGGCGGGGCAGCTCAGGCTGCTGCATAACCCAAAAAATCTCAAGCTAGAATTGTGAGCCTGGGCAGTCTGTGGTCATTGCAATTGTAAGTCTGAGCACATAAACAAATGGTAAGGGAGGGAGGATCTAGCGTGTAGAGCAGTTGGTTTCTGGCGCCAAGCCCAGGGTGAAGAGGTTCCCCCTTCCTGACATCCTGCTCAGTTGTGATCAACGCTGGCAGACTACAAGTGTGTTCCTTTCTGTTGTACTTCAATAGTCAGTCTGTATTTGAAAAAAAGGGCGATGCTAGTATGATTTCAGTATGGCTCCGGGGGAGGGAGGAACTAGCGTGTAGCTGTGTATCTGGTGCCGGATTCAGGGTGAAGAGGTTCCCCCTTCCTTCCAATAATCTGCTCAGTCAATCCCCTGGAACCCAGGGTAATCAATGCTGGCAGGAACACTCCACAATTTTTTCTGTTGTACGCCAAATTCCGTCTGTATGAGGGACGCTGGACCCACTTTCCAGCAGGTGATGCTCCCCACCAATAGATGGAGCCTCTCCCCAGGTGCTAGTGGTGTCTGCTCTTATCAGCACCACTAACACTGCTGGGGGCTTATTTTTGTAAAAAAAAAAACAAACAAACATAATTTAAATAAATAATCAAAAAAATAATGGCTTTTCCATTCTTTGGTTCTCTTATGATTCCAAAGCTGGTTGGTTGATTGTTGATTACTTGCCTTCTTCAATTCACGGACTGTAGAGACAAATCCACAGCCTCTCCCTTCGGTACTTCTTCTCTCTGCTGCCTGCTTCTCTCTCTCTTTTGCCATCTGTACTGTTCCAGTTCTTTTCTTCTCCGAAGTTTTCATGGCCTCTCACATTGTATTCCTCTCCTTGTCTATGTTCTCTTTCTTTTTCCCCTTCTTCTTGTCAGCATTGGTTGTCCTGACCCCTTTTCGACCTCACCCCAAATTGCCGAATGTGCCTTGTGTGGGGTGGAAAGAAAAGGCCTCTTGGGGCTACCGGTGCTTGTTTTAAAGTTTAGACTATCACGGCATCAACTCATTATTTTACTATTTGTGGACCAAGTCTATGTGTGAGAGAGAGGGGGAATGGTATTCCTGAACAGCTACGTTTAGAATGTTTTGTGCTGGGTACTTCAGCTTCTTTACCCTGTTGCTTGCCCTCTTCTATATGAAATCTTGACCAGGAAGGTCGAAGCCCGTTTCCCAACACATTTATATGGGGGCTTTCTGTGATCTCCAATTTGTTACTGGTTGCAGGATAAGAGGGCAAAGCATGTAGAGGATGTGAAGGAGAAGCTCCACCGTATCTGGAAGCTCATCAGAGGCTCCAACTACACCGTGGGTAAGCCCGATAGAATATACAACTCTTCTCGTGGTCACAATGTCAAACCGTGTGGTTTGGTGTTCCTTCTGATACGTTGCAGATTGTCTGGTGATGTTCATGACAGTCTGATTCAAGAATGACTTCACGAATGAATTATAGATTCAACTGCCAAGGGTTCTTCTCTCCTGATGAAAGGTTTGCCTTCAGCCTACGGGGGTGGTGTGGCCAGGTTCTTTCCATCTGTTTTAACTTTTTTAGGAATTCCAAGTAGAAAAGGAAAAGGCCCACTGCAACATCGTGGTCACCTTTCTGCACACATGAAAACCACTCTTGCTGTCACCCAACTCCCTCTAAGTATACTGATTGAATTGGCTGTCACTTTGGAGCAGGTCAGCAGGAGGAATGTCGAAGCACCGGATCCCTCAAGTTTAGCCTATTTTGCCCAAAAGTGAGTTTTGCAGGTGATATCATAACTTCCCCCCAGCAGTTGCCAGTGTTACAGTCTGAACCATTTAGCCATAGAGTCAGTTGCAGGAACAATGCCCTTAACCAGATTATCAGATTGAGCTGTCAGGCAGGTGTTTTCTCCCAATGCTCATATGGGTCAGTGTGCATGGGATTCTGATATGGAGTGCTGTCCCTCAATGAGGATGAAGGAACTGTCTGTCTTTGTGAGATTGGACTGGCATAGCATGGAGTGACATACAATTAAAAAAGGACACGAGGCCACAGTTGGTTGAGGGAAAGAAGTGGCACGGCGTTGTTTTGAAAGAACAGGCTTCTGGTTCAGAAAATGGGCAGCACGAAGTGGCGGCACAACATGTTCCCTGAGATCAAGGTGACACCCTCAAGGTTCCACGGAGTGTCTTCACAGGCAGAGTTGGGAGGAGAAGGAGAAGAAGAAGAAAAAGCCATACTTTGTGCATGGTTTGCAAATAATAATTTGAATGCCAGTTTGAAATGAGGCAAGTACTCGTCAAGTTCAACCTTGCATACATCAATGAACATTCACATGAGAGTTCACACATGAGAAGCCAAATCGAGATACAATCAGCACTTGAAGATGTCGTCTCCAATATTATTATCAATATAGTAATAATATGTAATATACAAGAATGTTTGTCTCCAGCGGTTCTGCTGCACACACACACATAACGTATCTCAATCAGGTGGTGGCTATGGCTTCTCTCTCTTCTTTCCCTCTCTCTCTCTCTACGGCTTGCTTCTCTCTCTGACTTGGCTCGCTCTGCCTCACTCCCTCTCTCTCTAACCCAGATCGTCACCCTGGATACACCCACTCAGGTATGCTTACACCTCGGCGGCTATGGCCGCCATCCTCCTGCTCTACCCTAACCTAGCTATGGAGTAACTTGAACAAGTGATGAGCCGCTGCACTGTAGCAGCTAAATATAGGACTTGGCCTGGCTTTGCTTTGCTTGGCTTGGCCTGCTTCAGACCGGTACCGGTCGGCCGTGGCCTGTCTGCTGCAAACGCTTGTCGATCCGGTAGCTTCCGGACTCTCCTGGGACATGCTGCAAAATTGTACTTGGGACTGTTGGGACCCTGGGACCGGGACTGGGTGTCTGCAGTGTGAATCGTTTCACTCCCGCCGGCCTAATTTCAAGGTCCTCCGAGAAAAATCCTATCTTTATCGATCATAGATGTTCATTCCTCCCTGAGCCCTCTCGTAAAAGGAAACAATGTGAGGGGCTGTCTGTATTAGTTCCTCCCTGGGAAACTAGCGGTCTTCGCTGGGTTCCTGATAGGCAAATCTGGCTTTATATTGACTCTGTGGTCTCCATCGGTGCTCTGTTTGGAAAGTATCTTACTACTATTCGTTCTACATCATAACCTCCATCCATATCAGGTGGGATCATGGAACGCCGGGAGGGAAATTTATCATTTGTAATGCAGGGAAGTAACTTAGATGCGTGGAATACCGGATGTGTGTGCAGGTGGGGCGGAATCTCGCTAGTATAGGACGGACCATCTCCTTTCCCCTTGGCATCTAAGACTTGCCAGGGTCCCCTATATGCAGGTAACAGTTTCTGTGAGATCCCCTCTTCAGGAATGAACTCCGTAGACTTAACCCAGACCAAGTCACCTACTGCAAACTGCAATGGTCGTCGATGTTTGTCAGCTTGTTCTACCATCTGGTGCTGGGCCTTAAGGATGTTCTTCTTGACCTGCTGTAAGTCTTTCTCGTACTGAATGGCAATCTCTGAATCTGATCTGGATTCAGACAGTCGATCGGACGTCTGGGTTGCCAGCCCTTGTGCAGTTCATTCGGTTTGCGTGCAGTAGACAGGTGCACCAAATGATCATAAGCGGATTGCACCTTGGTCAGGCCTAATGTATATGCACAGCACTTGTTGGAGCACTTTGTTCATCTGCTAAGTTTGGCCGTTGGTTTCCGGGTGCCTTCCGGAGGACATTGTCAACTTTGACCCATATATCTTAATCAACTGGTGCCAGTGCTCGCTCGTGAATCTGCTATCTCTATCACTAACAATCGCTAATGGGTGTCCGTAATCTTTAACCCAACGATTGAAGAATTCTCTAATCATCAAGTCTGTCTTTGCCTCGGCGGGCAGCAGAATAAAAACAACAAATTTACTGAATCTATTGACGACTACCATCACTTGACTCTTTCCGTTCTTTCTTTTGATCTATGTGTCCATAAAGTCGATAGACACGGAGTCACCGGGACCGGACGGGACAGGTAGTGGTCTCAACAGTCCAAGGGGGGTCTGCATGGAGATCTTGTTCCGCTGGCATACTTGGCAGCTCTGGATGTAGGTGATGCAGTCATGTTTCATGCCGATCCAAATGTAGGACCGGAGGAGATTAGCATAGGTTTTTCTCCGCCGAAATGACCTGAGTGTCGTGGCACTCCCCCAAGATCAGACTTTTGACTGTCTCATTGTGGGATGCGCAATCTATTGAACCTGTCTGTCGTTTTGAACAACAGTCCGTTCATTACCTCCGGGACTTCGTGTGGTGCAATCTGCACCCTTTAATTAGCTCGCTGTAGACAGGATCGTCAGTGTACGCAGCCTTGATCCGTTGCTGCAGTTCGGTACCAGCGTCTAGGTAAGTCACTATGGCACCGAAGTGCGTCTACTCAGCGCGTCAGCGATGACATTGTACTTGCCTTTGACTGACTTCAATTCAAAGTGAAACTGATCGATTTTCCCAGCCCATCCAGTCAACTAAGGGGTCATCCGGGCCTGGGTTTTTAACCAGCGCAGGGTCTCATGGTCAGCGCAGACTTTAAAGTGCCTCCCTAGGAGGTAGTGTCGCCACAGTGCTTTAGTGCTTCTCTCAAGGCGAACAGCTCGCGCTCATTTGTCGACGCAGCGACCTTCTCACTAGGCAATCTACAAGACATGAACTTGATGGGCCAGTACCCCTCTCCATCATTTTGCTAGAGTACAGTGCCAATTCCATATTGGCTTGCGTCTGTCGTGACAATAATGGAAGCGATGGGTCTGCAACCTTCAAGACCAGGTACTCAATTTATGACTTCTTCAATTTCTTGAAAGCTGAGGTGCAATCTTTGTCCCAATTCCAAAATGTTTCCTTCCTCAACAGTTTGCGCAATGGTGCAGCTATCATGGTGAAATTCTGTACAAATTTTCGGTAGTAATTGGCTAAGCCTAAGAACGACCGCAGTTCAGTCAGGGTATGCGGTGTGGGCCAATCCCAGATTGCTGCTATCTTTGCGTCTTCCGGTTGGACTCCAACTCTGTCTAACACGTGGCCTAAGTATATGACTTGACACTTCGCCCATTCACACGTTTTCGGGTTTAGCTTGAGCTTCACAGTGCTCAGCTTCTCTAGAGTGTTACAAAAAACCAAAATATCGTCTAGATAAACCACTACAAACTTATTTAGCCATTCACGAAAGAGATCGTTCATGCATCTTTGGAAGGTAGCAGGGGCATTCGTTAGACCAAACGGCATGGTCACAAACTCGTAGTGGCCATAGTGAGTTATAAAGGTCGTCTTGTGCTGGTCTTCAGGATGTGCCTCTATCAGATGGTAGCCCGACTTCAAGTCAATCTTGGAAAAATATTTGCATCCGTGCACCCTATCCAGCAAAATCACCTATTTTAGGGAAAGGTTCGGCGTTTTTCACCGTAGTTGCATTCAAATCCCCGTAGTCAATGCACATTCGCAGTTCGCCCTCCTTCTTAGGCACGAATAGGACCGGTGCGCCATACGGTGAGGAGATGAGGTTAATCCACCCTTTCTCTATTAATTTGTCAAGCTGCTTGCGCAGCTCGTCAAGTTTCTTGGAAGACATTCGGTACATGGGACCTTTGGGAGTTTTGCTACCGGGCTCTTTCTCTATATTCGGTGCTTGATTTCCCTTTCCACTACTCCTGTCAGGGTGTCTCCCACATCAGCGAACTCTTTTGGCAGTTTTTCAACTGCGGGTGGTGTTGGCTCCTCCTCCTTCTTGCCTTCACTAACCGGTCTAACATACGCTACGAAGACTTGGTCAACCAAATTGGCCTTGACCGCATGTCTGGCGAACGCAGGGGCACTCGTACAGCAAAGGGATAGACTGGACTCTATTCCAGACTCGTGAAACAGTTGCATTTTCTTTTTTGCCTCCATCAGGGCTGGGCAGCCAGCACTCGTGCTCGCCCATCTTTACATCATCCCGTTCAGCCTCTCCCCAATCCGTCCCTGGAATCAAGTCGAAAGGTAGGTTGTCCTCCACGAAGAGTGTCAGGGAGTGCAGAACTTTCTCTACCTTGTTCCCCCCCCTCCGACCGAAAGTATGCCCTTACCCCTTCAATGTACTCTTCTACGCTCATTTCGCAATTGTCTGCTAGCCTGCTTAGGACCGGCTCATCCAATTTCAAAACCTTCATGCCGAGGTGCTACTTCTGCAGTCCCCTTCGGCTAATGTAGCTACTTGCTCTACTGATTTCTACATCTGCTAAGATTAGTTGTCGTTTACTCTTCTTCTTCATTTCATCCCAAGCTTGGTGGTGAGTGTGGCGAGACCCTAGCACAAGTGGTCCCCGGACAACTAATTGGGTGGGGGGCTACGTCAGTCGCTGCCATAGGAGCCTTCAGACAGGAGAGTGCCTATTCAGCGCATGCTTCTATCTGTATGTTTGTGTCTGAAGGCTCAGCAGGAGCAACTGCGACTCCAACTGGCTGCTTCCTTCTGGGTAGCGGTAGTCAGGGCAAAAACAGACAATGTGGTTGAGATCACCACATTTTAGGCATTGGTTGGCATTAAGCCTCTTCTGGAACAATGATTGATCGATGCCCATCTCTTTCCAAGGTTCGCCATCAGCGATCCTTGGATGTGCTGGTCATGGTCTGTGCCCCCTACCTCTTCCACCTGTGGAGGGGGAACCTCGTCCATCATGCGGGGAACCAATACCCTTACCTCCCGCGTAATAGCTACCTTCGCTACTACTCCCCTGGGTGCCATGTCCTCTTCCTCCACCTCTTCCTCGGCCTCCTCTTCCTCCTTGTCGCCCTCCCCCTTGGGCTGCAGCAGCGGAATGGTCCCCTTCCTAGGCTATTTGGTTGCTGCTGGCCTCTTCCAGTCCGTAATCTATGTTTTCGTAGGATAGTTTTGACTCCCCCTCCTTCAAAGGTGACTTGAAGACTGTCCTTCCCTTCTATACTACCTGCTATAGTTTTGTTCTTCCATCACCCTCCTTTCTGCAGATCCTTCCAGTAATGACAGTAACCGGCCTGATCTACGGCGATCTTACGAAACGTCTCGTAAGTCATGCCGTCCTCTTTCGTACGGGGGTACAGGGTAGTCCTTAGGGGATCAGGCATCGCTCTGCCTCACTCCTGTCCCTAACCTAGATCATCACCCTGGATACACCCACTCAGGTATGCTTACACCTTGGCGGCTATGGCCGCCGTCCTCCTGCTCTACCCCTAACCTAGCTATGGAGTAACTTGTGAGCGCCCTCTTCTTCTTCGGGTGTGCCGTGCCCAAGTTGCCTTAACGCACAAGCAGCAGTGGCGCTTCCGTATCTCGCAACTGAACAAGTGATGACCGGCTTCACTGTAGCAGCGAAATATAGGACTTGCCCTGGCTTGGCTTGGTTTGGCTTGGCTTGGCCTGCTTCAGACCAGTACCGGTCGGCCGCAGCCTGCCTGCTGCAAACGTTTTGTCGATCTGGTAGCTTCCGGACTTTCCTGGGACATGCTGCAAAATTGGACTTGGGACTGTTGGGACCCTGGGACCGAGACTGGGTGTCTGCAGCGTGAATCCTGTCAAGTTCATCTAGGGCTTGTGGCAACGTAGATTTTTCACTTGTCGGAGTTGCCCCTTAAGAATGGCTGTTGGAAGAATAACTTCATAACATAGCCGGGAACTGTTGTCTTTGTAATGGTACTAATGACTGTAACTTCATAACATAGCCGGGAACTGTTGTCTTTGTAATGGTACTAATGACTGTCTCTCCATGCTGGCAGATCAGTTTGCTGCTGTCCTCGTTGTGTGAACCAGAATGGGAAGGGGAGTTCACAGCGGTGCAGATCAAGGTATCTTTTCAGGTTAGTTCATGCATGGTTGAGAGGAGATGAGCAGAATATGCATGTGAAGTGGGGCGTTAATTGCCAGCAAAAATCAATCCCAAGAGGAATGTGGGGGGACAAGTAACTGGATTGGTGCTCCCCGGAATGGATATGGATCCAGGCCCGAAAGGTCCTGTTTTAACCAAAAAAAAAGGGGAAACGGGAAAAAAAAAGGAAAAACATTTGAATGAAAAGGGAAAAAAACTTAAAAAAAGGGAAACCAAAGGGAAAACGGGAAACAAAGGGAAAAAACCTTTGACAAAGGGGAAAAAAAAGAAAAAGAGTCAAAAGACAGGAAAATAAATTAAGAAAAACGGGGAGAAAAGGGGGAAAAGGAAATAAAAGAAAAGAAACTTAAAAAAAAAAAAGAAAAAGCAAATTGAACAAATCACATTCACATCGGTCCTTCTGACTCCTGATGGCTGCAAATGTCGTGGAGCATCCTGTACAGAGGTTGGTAAAGCATGCTCAGGTGCTTGAGCATGCGCAGGACATTGATGTTCCAGATTGGGTATTGTAGTGCTACACATTCTTCCATTATGCCATCTCATCTTATGGTACCTCTCCAGTCTCACTTGTGCTCTTCAGACGTTCTTATTGTTGCTTTTTTGTTACTGTCATCACACTTTTATGCATCGTCTCTCTCTCTCTCTCTCTCTCTCTCTCTCTCTCTCTCCCCCCTCTTTTGGCACATGCATCAGTCCATGCTTCTATGAACTCGATGTCTTTGCCTTCCTCCTCTCGAGGTCACAAGAATCTTATGGCTACGAGGTCCGCTCAGGAGAGCACAATAAGGCCATCCTCACACTTCATATGTTTTAGATGCAAGTTCCCGTGCAGTCAGATACAGGCCCCAAACTCCTAGTGTGAGCATACCCTAAGAGGAGGTCAGTGCTGGAAAGGAATGAGACATCTGGAGAGAATGTTTGATTCCTTCAATAGACAACAAGTCAAGGTGCCCCCCTCCCAAGCAACCGGTACCTCCTCCCTTTCGGAGAGAAACATCATTGTAGACTCTGATATTGCCCGTACAGACTTTAGACTCAGACTGGATGGACTGGTAAAGACGGCCTGACCAAAAAATGTTGACAAGAATACTGGCCAGTTTTAGGGGAAGATTTACACAAATTTTATCAAGAAGCATTCAAGGAAGGGAGTTTAGGAGAAGATATAAGTACAAGGATATTGACACTATTGTACAAAAAGGGAGATAGAACGGATAT